GGTTGGGGGTACAGGCTAGGTTAGAGTGAGGTGGGAGTGAAGGAAGAGTTTAAAAGAAAAGACATGCTCCTTCTCTGGACAGTGGAATGTGAGAGGTGATGTCTGGTGCTGTTGCAACCACTGTTGCTATCCTGAGAGAGCTGTCAGAGGACAGAGCCAACGTGAGAAGGAACTCGGAAGTGAAATGCACACATAAAATCAGAGCTGGAGCTCTGAACAGATGGTGATTCTCTGGATCAGACAACACTAAAGGCCAGTTCTAACACAAGGTCTTTTCATTTGTACAAAGCAATAAATCCCCTTTTTGCCTTAAGACAGTTCAAGTTGAATTTTCTGTCATTTGTCATGAAGATCCTAACCGATGAGCTCAACAACACTGATTTAATGATGCTCATGCGGCCTCAACCAGAGTACAGCAACTATCTTCTCCTTACAGAGATCCTCACCATGCAGCTCCTACAGTGCTGCCAGGATGTCCTTTCTGAAACCAGACTGGAGGCTTATCTTCTACTTACAAGCTTACAGTGGCCTCTTCTACCTTTGAAATAAAATCCAAACTCCTTAAGGACGTCAGAAAAAAAAAATCTTCAGTTTGGCCCCTGCCAACATCTCTGGTCTCACCTCTGGTCAAAATGAAAAACTTTTCTTCTTAAAAGGACACCAGCAAGAAAGCGAAGACAACCCACTGAGTGGGAGAAAATATTTGTAAATTACGTATCTGATAATGGGTTTATTACCTAAAGAACTGTTAAAACTCAATGAAAAGATAAGTAACCCAATTTAAGAATAGGCACAAGATCTGAATAAGACATTTCTCCAAAGATGATACACAAATAGCCAATATACACACAAAAAGATGCTCAATGTCATTAGTCATCAGGAAAACGCAAATAAAACCACAATGAGATATCACTTCACACCCACTAGGATGGCTGTGATCAAACAGGCAGACAATAAGTATTGGTAAGATGTGGAGAAACTAGAATGCTTATACATTGCTGGTAGAAATGTTAAATGGTGCAGGCACTTTCGCAAACAGTGTAGCAGGTGCTCAAAAAGTTAAAAACAGAATAATCATATGATCCAGAAATTTCATTCTTCATTCCAGCCACACTAAAATGCTCATATTTCCCAAATGTATATGCCCAAGAAAAATGAAAACATGTCTACCTAAGTTTGTATTCAAATGTTAATAGCAGCATTATATATATAAAAAATATAAACAACCCAAATGTCCAACAGACGGATGGATTAATAAAATGTGGTATATCCACACAGTGGAATATTATTCAGCCATTAAAAAGTAATGAAGTACTGGGATGCCTGGGTGGTGCAGTCAGTTAGGTGTCTGACTCTTGCTCTCGGCTTAGGTCGTGATCTCACGGTGGTGAGATCGGGCCCCACGTTGGGCTCCACACTCAGTGTCAAGTCTGCTTGGGTTTCTCTCTCCTTCTTCCTCTGCTCCTCCCCCTCACTCTAAAAAATTTTTTTAAAAAATGAAGTACTGATACACGCTACAACATGGATGAACCTTGAAAACATGCTGAGCAAAAGAAGCTAGTCACAAAAGATTGCATATTGTATAATTCCATTTATATGAAATTTCCAGAAGTTTATACTGAAAGTAGACTAGCAGTTACCTAGGGCTGAAGAGAGTGGGGTGGGTGGGGTGTGTTGGAGGGGGTGATGGCTAAAGAATATGGGGATTTTGGTGAGGGGTGGAGTAGAAAATGTTCTAACATTGATTGTGGTGATGGTTGCACAACTCTGAACATAACAAACCGCACTGAACTATACACTTTAAGTGGGTGAACTGTATGTGAATTCTATCTCAAGAAAGCTGTTAGAGGGGAAAAAAAAAAAAAAAGACCGTCCTGCTCTAGGTCACCTTTCTTGCCTCCAATAAAACTGACCATTCTAAACATGAGTCCCCACTGTTCCCTGCAAGGGCTTTGGGTACATACAACTGACACTTAGGCCTTATTTTTTTGTCTGTTTTCCTCTACTAAACTGTGATCCTCAAGCAGAGATTTGGCTCATTTTTCTTAGAATCCATGGTTATCTGTACACTGTGTATACACTATGTGAAAGAGTACATCATAAGTATTTACTAAAAGACTGTCCTAAAGGCTGTCATGTGGAAAAGGGACTGTACTTACTTTACATACTCCAACGGGCAGAAATGAAAGTTACAATGACAGATTTCAAGAATTTTCAAATAACTGGGGTTGTCTCCTACTCTAAAACAAGGATTTCAGTGTTCTTTCTCAGAATTGATACTCAAATTCTGAATGTATGTTTAAGTAGTATGTGAATTTTTCTAGGGAGAAACTCCATAACTTTCATCAGATTCTCAAAGGGGTATACGTATATAAACCCAAAATGGTTAGGGGCGCCTGGGTGGCTCAGTTGGTTAAGCAACTGCCTTCGGCTCAGGTCATGATCCTGGAGTCCTGGGATCGAGTCCCACATCAGGCTCCCTGCTCGGCGAGGAACCTGCTTCTCCCTCTGGCCCTCACCCCTCTCGTATACTCTCTCTCTCATTCTCGCTCTCTCAAATAAATAAATAAATCTTAAAAAAAAAAAAAAACGGTTAGGAATCACTGTTTTTAAAATGTCAGCATACCGGCACAGGGATTTTAAGTAGTTTAATTTTTACTGAAGCATAGTTGACATACAATGTTATCTTGAGTGTATGACATAGTCATTCTATAGCTCTATACATTATTATGCTCACCACAAAATACAGCTACCATCTATCACCATACCACACCACGAACACGACTAACTATACTCCCTATGTTGTACTTTCATCCCCATGACTTACTCATTTCATTACTGGAAGCCTGTATTTCCCACTCCTCTTCACCCATTTTGCCCATCCCCCCCCCATTCGGCAACCATCAGTTCTCTATATTTATGGGTCTATTCCTGTTTTTGTTTGTTCATTTTTTAGATTCCACATAAGTGAAATCACATAGTATTTGTCTTTTTCTGACTTATTTCACTTAGTATAATATCCTCTAGGTCCATCCAAGGGCAGAGAGTTTAGTTAGCAAAATTTCAGTTACTGAAATTTATCATTCAGGAGAAGTTTCTTCCTGGATTATACTCCTTTGGTAACTAATGCAAAAAGAATTCACAATAGGGGCACCTGGGTGACTCAGTCGTTAAGCGTCTGCCTTCGCTCAGGTCATGATCCCAGGGTCCTGGGATCGAGCCCTGCATCGGGCTCCCCTGCTTGGCGGGAAGCCTGCTTCTCCCTCTCCCACTCCCCCTGCTTGTGTTCCTGCTCTCGCTATGTCTCTCTCTGTCAAATAAATAAATAAAATATTTTTTAAAAATTCACAATGTTAGTAGCTTCATAAACTTGAATTATTCATTTAAAAATATTTATCAACTGCTATTTTAGGCAGATGCTAAGGAAATAGTGGTAAACAAGACCAAGCCCCTGCCCTCATGAAACTTACACTCTGGAAAGTAGAAACAGAAAAAAAAGTGAGTAAATAAGAACATTTCATATCATATAGTAATTCCTTCAAGAAGGAAAAGAGAACAACATGAAGGAACAAGGAAAGATGCGGGTGGAGTTATCTTAGCTAGGGTCCGTAGGGAAAGTCTCTGAGAAGGTTACATTTGAGCAGAAACTTGAGTAATTAGAAGGAAGGTGAGGGAAGAACACTCTAGGAATAAGAACAGAAAGTGCAAAGATTCTAAGATGAGAACATTGGATATCAACTCTTGAGTTCTCAAGGGAAAGAGCCACATTAATTTCTATACAACATTCAGAAAGTATCTCCCACTCACATTCAATAGAACTTATTCAACATAATTCAGCATAATGGAATCCAATTGAGTAAAATACTATTTTAGAAAAATCTTTACTGCTTAAGATCATCATGAATTAATCTTCAAGGCAGACAAGGCAGTATCATTAGACAAAATGAGTAAAACCTTTGGGATTTTAGGAAAAAAATAACATGATTTTTTAGAAGTCTCTTCCAGGTAGTTTTACAAGCATAAAGGTTATCAAGCACATTCTACCAAGAGAATTCTCAGTTCAATCTGTCCTCCACCCCTAGAGCTTAGTGCTTTTCATCTGCAGTATTTCTATCTATAATGTGCAAAAGAGCGGAATGGTAGTCAGTGTGCACAAATTACAGGGAAGTGGGTTTCAGTTCAAAAGGAGCTGTCCAATCATCAAAAGGCTGAACATTACTGGAAGTGTTTGGAGACTGTAAAACCATCTTCACGGGTATTACAGAGATAACTTACAGGAGAAAGTTACCAGAAGAACTTCAGGAGCTAGAGAGAATTGTTCTAGTTCCTTCTTTCAGCCTGGACATCCATCCCTTTGCACCCATTATGTAAAAGCCCCTGAACGCAACCAACTGGGTGGATTTGTAAACACCACATAACCATACCGGTAACAAAGGATTAGCAAACACTTAAGGGTAATGTAGTAATTCTTCGTCTCAGTAACTGAAGTTTGAGTTAAAATCTTCAAATTATATTTAAAAAGTCACAAAGACAGCCTGAAGCGGGGCGCTGGAAGTACACAAGGACTTCAGATTAACAATAGCAATGCCAATTGACTTTACTTCATACAAAAGCACGACACAAAGCACACAGAAACCCCAGAGAGGGGAATCCAAGCGGGAGCCCTCCGGACTCAAAGCACCTGGACAGATGTGACAGCTGAGTGAAGCCAGGGACGGGAGGCGGGAGGGCTGCGAACAAAGGGTGAGCGAGAGACCACCTGGAGGATGCCCAGGTACGCGCGCCTGCATCCCCGGCTCTTCCTTCCAGCAGAAGGTCGGGACGGACCCGGTGCCCCATGGAGTCCGCCGCTGTCAGCTGACGCCGAGGGAACCGAGGGGCTTGGCACCTCCCCAACGCCGCCCGGTCCGCCCTCTCTAGCCGGTTTGGAGGAGACCTCGAATCACCCCTCCCTGGAGCGGCGTTCTCCGTACGCCGAGAGGGAGCTAGCCTGCGCTTACCTTCCGGCGCCGGCGGCGGCTCCTGCCGCTTTCCGCGGGACAGGAAGGCCTTGGGCAGCAGCAGCGACACGGCCAGGACGAGCCCCGAGGCCAGGGCCACCCTCCGCACGGTGGAGTACGCCATGGCCGCCACCCTCGCCACAGGTGCAGACGCCAGCCGGAACCGGAACCGCCGCGCCGGCGGCCTCCTCCGACCGAACCGTGGGCTGCGCGGACGGCGACGCGCGAGGGACAAGTGCGCGAGGCACCCGCACGGCGGTCCCCGTCTCCGTACTCGCACCCGCGCCAACTGGAGACTCCTCCCTCTCCACGCCCCGCGGTGCGCTCTGCTCCCCAACGAAAGGCTGGCGGTTGTGCGCTTCCTTCTCCCCGTCCGGCTGGCCGCCCTGCTCGCCTCCCGCCCCCCGACCACGCCAGCGAGCTCCTTCCCGCAAGCAGCTCCCACCGCTCGCAGCCAGCCTCCGTCTGCAGCCAAACGGGAGAATGTAAGCGCGTCTAAAGATCTCGCTCCACGGTGCGAAACCTTTCACGAACACCTCTGGATCCTCAGCACAACCCTCACATCTATCTGTGACCTCAAGGCCCTGACCGATCTGGTCTGAACAGTGGTGCATCCGGACTAGATCATTTGCTCTTTCCCTAGCAGATTCTTTGCTTTCAGGGAAGCTTGGTTCGTCCCGTTCCCTCTGCCTGGAGAATTCCTAACGTCATCTCCGCCGGTTAAAAACTCTGAAGAACTGAAAAATTCTACCTCCATGAGACTTCTCCAGTCAGCCCCTCCTTCCTCTGTATTCCCACAGTCCTTCCTTCGTGTCTTTATTCATTTATTTATACACATTAAATAATAAGCATTTAGTTCCTAAAATGTATCAAATCGGGAAATGGCACTATAGGGTCTGATGAATAAGATGGGTTTCCTTATGGGGCAGATAGGTATCTAAACACGAAAATGCAGGAAATATTCTGGACTCTGGAACAGTCAGCTCAACTGGAAGCTCCTGAAAGTAGGTGAAATTTGAGTTTTTGAAGAACGTCACTAGACAGGTGGGAGGAGTTAGAGTACTCAGACAAAGGTTGCAAAGAAAGCAAAGGCACGAAAGCCTGTGTGCCTTCCAAAGATGACTAGTGATTCATTTTGGCCGGGCCATAGGGCTGGTGACAGGATATAAAGTGATAAGGCTACAAATATAAACAGGAGTGAAATTGTGAGAAGCCTGGATATAACTTCCAGTTCAACACGGCAGATGGAACACACCCATTTATCTTTCCACAAAAATGAAAATAAAGAGAAAATAAAGTCTTGTATCTACTACAAGACTAAGGAGAATGAAAATATAACAGACAAGAAATGTCAACATTTTGTAAGATGCAACATTGTCCAATAGAAATGACAGTCACGTATGTAATTTAAAATTTTCTAGTAGCCACGTTAAAAAAGCGAACAGGTGAAATTCGTTTAATACGTTTTATTTAACCCAATATACCCAAAGTATTATTTCAACATGTGTAGCACTCGTAAGTCACATTTCAATGGCTTAATAGCCATGTGACTAGTGGCTACCATATTGGGCAGTGCAGGTGTAGAGCATAAAAAGAAGTACCTACTGAGGGAAAGCCCCTAAGAGGAAAACTAATTTGCCCCTCAGAAGCTAGGAGGTCTTAAAAATTGAGTTCCTTTAAAGGCAGAGATGTGGAGTGGGGCTGAATAAAGGATTGGTTGAAAGTCTGGTTAAGAAGCAGGTGAGAGTGGGCACTTGGGTGGCTCAGTTGGTTAAGCAACTGCCTTCAGCTCAGGTCATGATCCTGGAGTCCCGGGATCAAGTCCTACATCGGGCTTCCTGCTCAGCAGGGAGTCTGCTTCTCCCTCTGACCCTCTTCCCTTTCGTGCTTTCTCTCTCTCATTCTCTCTCTGAAATAAATAAATAAAATCTTAAAAGAAAAAAAAGCAGGTGAGATCCTCCAAATCTTGTTCCTCAATTATTGCAGCTGGGTGGTTGCCCCTGTCAGCATTGCTCAGGCATCATCATTGTTGATATCAACATCACTAAAAGTTATTGAGTACTTATTATTTCCCGATATTTTACATGTCATAACAATTGATTCTAAGTTTTATGAAGTAAGCAATATAATATACCCACTTTACAGATGAGAAAAACCAAGCAACAGAAAGCTTATGTAACTCCCCAACAATTACACAGTATCAATCGAAAGCTTTTACTTGAACCCAGGCATGCTTACTCCAGGACTTGCGCTGTTAACCACCAGTTTTACTCTCTGGAACCAGGGAAGCTCTGGACTCATGGACAACAGGTGCAGCCTATGGAGGTGGTACCTTATGGGATATGACTTCTAAGAGGTGCAGAGAAAACTGTGATGACCCACCCCCAAAATTCTGACTTGGGTGACTGGATAGGCATTGATTCCATATAACAGCATTTTGAAAACAGAAGAATCAGGTTCGTGAGAGAAGGAGTTCAGATTTTGACTAGTTGAATTTGAGTTCCATGAAATATCCAGGTACTGCTATCCAGTTGGATATATGGGTCTGAAACTCACAAGAGATGTTTGGGCTAGAAACAAATATGGAAGCGACTGGCCCTTCAATAGTTAAGTGAAGTCTGGGAGAAGATAACATCAGCAAGAGTGCTCATATAGAGTGAGGAGAGGCCACAGTAGGAAACCTAGATTACACCATTATGTTGAAGTTCCCAAGTATGAGGACAGAAATGGGGTGGAAATGAAGAGAGTGATCCAAGTGTTAAAAAGTCTCCAATAAGGAGTTACTGGGAAGTTAGAAGGTGACAGAAACAGAAGGTGTAATGAGCAGCCAGAAGACATGCTCTTGTATGGAGTGGTAGGTTTTGTGTTTGCTGGTTTTGAGAGTGGTTGTAGCGGCGGCAGGCTCTCCTAGGCATACTTCTAAGTCCTTTACATGGAAACATGCATTTATGAGAATACAAAACTCTGAATAAATGCCTGACCCTAATTGTTAAAGCTTAATCTCATGTATTTTTTATCATTCTGCCCTTGAACAAACCTTTTTTCCTCCCGCCTACCATCCCACTGCCGTGGAACTTGTAAATTGCTCCCTTAGAAGCTTTCTGCCATGTTCCTGGCGTTCTTATCCCTATGCTAGTTGCCTTCCTAACATTCCTGATTTACCTTTATTCCACCTATCTTGACATCCAATTTCAGCCCAGAAACAAACTGCTCATGGATCACAAGACCCAGGACAGAAAACCTACCTTTCTCCGGTGTACAGTAGGAAGCAGAGAAGGGCTCTTCCAGCCTTAAACCCCCAAAGAAGGGGAAGACCTCCATCTCCTTCTCCTCAGAATCTCGTTCTACTTTGTCTTTTAATGACCAGCAGGGCTCCCCGATATGAGGCCTGGGAGGGCCCACAGCCGGAGCCACTTATCTGCAGCTGCTGCCAATGATTTCCTTCCCTCCACCCCTTTCACAGCTGACCTTGCCTAATATAGAAGGCCCAAATAAATCTGAACTGCTTCCAAGAAGCTCTCCCGGATGCTCCAGCTCATGCTAACTCTTCTTTCATTGAATTGCTGTGGACACTGTTTATCATGGGTTTGCTGTGTTTTTTCACCTGGACAGGAACCCCAGGAGGATAGGGTTATATCTTCTTTCCATGACATGACCAAGCACGGAACAGGCTCACAGTAGGTACTTACCGAAGTATGAGCCTGCTGTTTTCACACACATACACCCCCCCACACACACATATACTGATTTTGCCACAGCTCCAAGCAACTATCCATCTTCCTAGGAATCAACAGTCAGAGTTTCCTGGAAGAGTCAACCCAATAGATATATAAACTACCAGTTATAAAATAAATAAGTCCTGGGGATGTCATGTACAGCATGGTGACTGTGGTTAGTAATAATGTATTGTATATTTGAAAGTTGCTAAGAAAGATCTTAGAAGTTCTCATTATAAGAAAAAAATTGTACCTATGTGTAGTGATCGATGTTAGCTAGACTTATTTTGGTCAGCATTTCACAATATATGCAAATATTGAATCATGTATATCTGAAACTAGTATGTTCTTTTCTAAAGCTAATGTGTTCTATGTCAATATTCAATATATTTATATTTCAATTAAAAAAGATATGGTTAAAAAAAGGAGTCACCCCAAAGAGTCTCATTTCAAAAAGTCACTGATTTTGCCCACTATAGGTCACGCTACCTCATCCACCAAATTTGCCCCCCTAGTGACCACGATGGTTAATTTTACATGTCAACTTGGCTGGGCCACAGTGCCCAGATATGTGGTCATGCATTATTCTGGATGTTTCTGTGAGGGTGCTTTTTTTGATGAGATTAACTTAAATCTGTGGAATTTGAGTAAAGCCGACTGCCTCCATAATGTGGGTGGGCCTCACCCAATCAGTTGAAGTCCAGAACAGAACAAAAGTCTGATCTCCCCTGAGTAAGAGACAATCCTGCAGCAGGAGGTCTTCAGACCTCCTGGATCTCCAGTCTGTCAGCCCACCCTGAAGATTTTCGACGTGCTCAACTTCTATAATCACATCAGCCAATTCCCTAAAATTAATCTCTCCCTTTCTCTCTCTCTCTCTTCCTCTCCCTCCACTCCCACCCCCCATCCTGACCACACACACACACACACACACACACACACACACACACACACACACCCAATTGGTTCTTTCTCTGGAGAACTCAGAAAAATACAGTGACTTTGCCTATTTCCAAAAATGTAATTCCCCCATGATTGAGGTTTTTCCATCCCACAGGAGATTCCAAGGATGCACCTTGGTCTCCGAAAACAGTTCTAAAGAAGAGCCCAAAGGAAATACAGTAAAGTCATGGGCCCTTAATATGGGCAGGAGATTGGGGTGGTCCACAGGGAAATGAGACCCAAACATCCAGAACACTGAGCAGAAAGGAGCAAGACCTGTATCTCCAAAGCCCAGAATGAAGATGCTAAAGAAGGAAGCAGAAGATGCGGTAGGATGCACACAGAGGGTATATTGGACCAAGGCCTTGAAAGAAGGGTAGAATTTCCATCAGGGATGAAGGAAATGTGATAAACAGCTGTTCACTGTGGATGTCCAAAATCTTTTGAATATCCTCTCTTTGATGTT